TGAAGAGACTAATGAAAATTTACTCATCTAAAGTCAGGCCTATCTAAGCTTTTTAGCATAGAGTCAATAGCATTAACAGTGAGTTAGCATTAACAAGGTACCAGCTGCTTCTCTTAGGTATGCGCTATGGTAAGTGTCTCCCCCAAACCCACATGTTAAATGTTTGGTCCCCAGCCCATGATCTAACTGGGAAATAGTGGAAGTTTTAAGAGCTAGGACCTAGTGGGAAATCTGACTATGTAAGGTTGTGATTTGGAAAGGGTCCCTGGTCTCTCCCCTTACTCTGTTTTACTTCCTGTGGTGTGGTGAGTGGCTTCCTTCATGCACAGGCTCACTGTGGTATCCTGCCTTGCTACAGGCAGAGCAACAGAATAAAATGAAGTACAAACTGTGCACCAGAATAAACCTTTCCTCATTGGAAGTTTATTATCTCATGTGCTTTATTATAGTCTAAGAAAGCCGAGTAACTAGTATATGGTCTGTTGCTGTCTACTTTAGGTGAAATCATAGCAATAGTTGCATCTGTTTACCACACTTTTCCAGTATATTCTCCCCTTGGTCTCATTGCCAGGTGTTCTGTGGGGAAAGTAAGGATTTTTCCCACTGTTTGACAAAAGAAGATACTGAAGATCAAGATCTTGGTCCTGGGTTGACAAGTTCACACAGCTAAGTGGTAGCATTGATTTGTTTCCTCACCACGCTATTAAAAGAAAGTAAAGAAAAAAGAAGTTAGTTTTTACACTGTGTGATTGTTTGAATGAGAATGTCCCCCATAGGCTCCAAGTATTTGGACATTTTGTCCCCAGCTGTTGGCGCTGTTTTGGGAGGTCTTAGAAGGTGTGGCCATGCTGGAGGAAGCATGTCACTGGGGGTGGGCTTAGAGAGTTCTTAAGCCTTTTGGCATCTCAAATTGCTTTTTTGCTTCCTGTGTCTGCTTGAAGATATGAGCGCTTAGCTTCTGTTCCTCCTCCAGCCGCCTCTGCCGCCATGCCTCCCTGTCATGATGGACTCTTGCCCCTTTGGAACAGTAAGTGCAAGTAAACTCTTACTGTTTGGTCACTGTTTCTGTTTCTATCACAGCAACAGAAAAGTAACCAACAAACATTGTGAAAAAAACCCCAAATTTTCTTTATGAAAATTAAACATATTAAAAGGGAGGCACATACATATTTAGGTAGAGAATGCATAGATTTTTTTCTGGCATTTTATTTTTTCAATTATACCTATACATATAGGTGTAATAGATATACATGAAAAATATACACATATAGAGAATATACCTATACCTAGATACCTATAGGTAATATAGCATATATACCTTTGTACATCATCAAGTTCTAATCCCACTAAGCATCTCATCTCATTCATGAGGGAGGGACCACATCTCAAAGGCCACACTTCCCAATGCTGTTATATTGAGATAAAATGTCAAATGTTGAAATTTGGAGAAGACAGAAACAGTTAATCCATAACAACATCATACCTTGGATTGTTCCTATACCTGAATGATCTCATGTCTCATAATCACAGCTCTTCATAGGTAGCTCCAGCTGCATAGCCATACTTGATGTCCTAGATTATACTAGAGCACAGAAGAAATGTCACTGTGTTTGCAATGGCCTTGGAAAGTTTGTCCTTGCTCCTGAATCCAGGCATTTGTGGTGCAACACTGATGTTTGGATTTAGCAGTGATGCTATATAGCATCTTAACACATTACGACTCCTCTAGCCCCTGAATCTCCTAGGTCATGCTGCCTGACGACCAGGGCAGCTTGCACTATAGTCTGGACCCACTGCAGGATTATCTCTCATTCTGAGCAATATATATCACACCTCAACAGGGCAACCATTCCAAGTTAGTTAATAAATGGCTCAAAACACATTGTTTCATGTGTGACTATAGTATTCCATTCAATTTACCACGTACGGTGCTTCTTTTTCAGTGGTAGGAGGCATGAATGCAACAATCTGTCATTTATATTAAAGGTGATTTTCCCACTTTCAAATCTTTGGATATAAAACATCTCTCACACTGACAGGTCCTTGAAACTTAGAGGATTTATCATGTACCTCTGGCATGTATCTCTCTAGGATACCCTGAGTACTTTTTCCTCTCCTCACCAGGTCCAGTTGCCATGATATCATCCATCAGCGTCAGTTGCTGGATCTGTGGAATATCAAGACAACGGATGTCTCTCAGGACTCTATTGTTTCAGAAAGAAGAAGTGTTGTCCCGGTCCTGGGCAAGATAGTGCCTGAAAAGTACTGTCTTTTCTACATGACAGCAAACTGCTTTTCATCCTTATTATTGATGAGAATTGAGAAGAACTTGTCTTTGCAAAAACTACTTATTAAGTCCTGAAACTAATCTATTTTAGCACACTACCATATTTGACATAGGAGTTATAATTGTGGTTGTCAACTGTTTACTTTGACTACTACCATTCACAATGATCTCTCTAGGTTTTGTAAGAGTTACACAGGTGAACTGAGTAGGGGTATTCCTTTATTGCTTGGGTCTTTAATGGTGAAGCTAATTTCTATAATTCCTCCTGAAATGAAGCATTGCTACCTCTGAAACGCCCCTTTGTGCCTTCCAAATACATGATGGCTCTTATTCTTTCGGACAAACCACCAATCTTGATTGTATTCAAAACTGGGTAATTACCACATGGGTGGCCTGTAGACCTGTAGGACCAGTGGGACATAGGCCAGGATTCCATTCATTGCCTGGCTTCTGCAAGCTTCTCTCTAAGGAAAGGTTACTATTGTGTCTTGAGATTAAAGTAAGCTCTGACTCTATCTAACAACTTTGGAATGGACTAGCTACTTTCCTTCCCACAGTATACATCTGCTATTTCTGGTAAACAACTTGTGGATCTTGTGGGAAAAGACTGGGAGAACTGTATTACACAAATGTTCAATGATGTTGCAGGACACTTCCTGAGAGGGATCTAAGTTCTATTAATCAGTAAGCTAACGCTCAGAGGCTGCGCTCTGGGTCTAAGAACTGACTTAGATCTAGAGTGATCACTAGGTGAGTGATTGTGATTTTCCATTGTGGTGGCTGACAGTCTTTTAAAAAAAAAATTTATTTCATGTATATGAGTGCATTGCCTTCGTGTACATAAGTGTACCTTGTTGTGCACTGACCACAGAGGTCAGAAGAGAGCATTGAATGCTCCTGGAACTGGAGTTACAGAAGGTTGTTAGCTGCCATGTGGGTGCTGGGAATTGAACCCGGGTCCTCTGCCAGAGCAGCCAGTGCTCTTAACCGCTGAGCCATCTCTCTAGCCCTGTTGACATCAGTGTTTTGCTTACTAAATCTCAACTTCTAGTTTTATATAGCAAGCAAGAATCTAGATGGCTGCTACCCATCTTACTCCTATAATTTCTTAACATTTGCTACAGAGCCCCATGAGTCAAGACATCACTGCTGTCACTCTGGCTTTGATGCCTATTTCAGCAATTATGACCTCCTTATTTCTGTGAAGAAAATTTAGTCTCCCTCATTCCAAATTTCTATAAATTCTGATACCAGGGCAACCAGTTCTGCTGTAGCACCCTTGAGTGCTCTCTGCCACTGCCAACATTCTCCACAATACTCCCGTTCCACTCAGCACGCATTCTACATTAACTGGGAAAAGAGTGTCCTTGAATACCCTCAGATGACAGAGTTCCTTGATCTGACATAACAAATTCATCACTACATTCTCATCTCCCTGAGCATTTTGATCATTTTTTCCCAATATTCAGTCAAGGCCTCATTTAGCAGATTACTTTGATAAGGTGTAAGCTTCAAGGAACAACTCCAATAGTGTATTAGGATCAATTCTGTATGTGTTGTTAGGACATCAAACCCTTTGTTACAGGAGATTGTTCCAGTGTCAATAAAATTTCCCCTCTCTGGTCTTATACTCTTAATCTCATACTACGAGTATCCTCAAGATCTGCTCTCATATTGTTCCCTGTTTCTGATGGGCCCATATTAACTGGGTCTTGCAATTATTTGACTATGTTATTTCTGTCCACAGTATGGGACCCCAGTGGTATTATGACCTGGAAATTCTTATTATTATAGCTTTTATTCCACAGCATAGGAACCAATAAAAGGCTCTGCTGGTTGTGTGGTAGGTACACTTAGAGATCAAGAAAATAGCCTTTCTGGCATATTGAGTCTGAAGACAGTGAAGAGAGATGGGGGTAGAACACAAGGGGTAGAAATCTGAAGCTCCTTCTTCAGATCTGGTTTCTCAGGCTCTGGATTATGTCTAAATGACACCTTTGACAAAATTTTTATTTTGAGGCGCTATCCTGTGCATGGTAGCATGTTAACAACATCCTGCAATGACTTCTGCCTATTCGATGCTCCTGTCAGTTGTGATAACCAAATATTTCCTGCAAGAGCTATTGAGTAGGTGATGATTATCATCTCTCCCACCACCAGGCTCTTGCAAACGTCTCTTAGGAGATGGCAGTATTCTTCAAGGCACAGAGGGGGTGAGATGTCAGCAGATTATCCCCAAGTACACCTGGTACCTGCAGCAACGGCTGGAATACAAAATGGGCTAAGTCGTGAGGAGGCAGGGAAATGGATCTGACTCAGAGGAACAGTTTCACTGCATTTCACAGATGACAACACTGAGGCTCAGGAAGGTTTAACAGCTTTAATAGAAGAGTTTAAGTTTGATGCATTGGGCACAGAGATGAACAAGACCAAATACATTCCTTCTGGGAGTTTTCAGTCCAGTGAACTATGAAATATTATATAATAAATTATTACATGTAAATGTTGATCAGGTCATATTGCCAGTAAGTGACAAAGCTGCACATATACTGAGGTTTATTTGATTTTAAATTTCTATTCATATAGTAGATGAATATGCTTCATGACTATTAGATTAGTGTACTATAATATGTGCTAAATTATTTGCATACCTGATGCCACTTAACATTCATGGAATTTTAATAAAGTGGGTTTCTCACCTCTCATTTTTCAGAAAACGAAGTGACTGTTTCTTGTATACCTTCAAATGACCTAGACACATTATGGTTAAAGAGACACTGCTTGTAGATGAAGGTGACCTAAGACTGATCAAATCAATGTGGACAAGCAGAGATGCAGGCAGAGGCTAATGCAGCATGCTGCTGGAAAGAGGAGAACCCAGTGACCGACTCCATTAACTCCATCTTCATCTTCCAACAGTGTGAATAATTAAGATATGGGTTGGTACTAAGTAGCTCAGCTCCTTTTACGAGCGGCTTATGGAACTGTGGAAACTATCTAAAAATATATAACCAATGTGAGAGAAATAATGTTGTTACAGGGGAATTGATAACTGAGGATAATGGGAAAGGAAAGAAAGAGCAAGTTGCAGCTAATTATGAGGGAAAGCCCCTTGACACCGAGAATGGTGAGCCAGGATAATGGTCTCCTGGGGGGAGTGGCAGAATCACCATCAGTTAGTACATTTAAAAATAGGCAACAGAGCACTAGAAACAGGGCTATGGGGAATAATCTTGCATTAGGCAGGAAAGGAGGTAATTGACTGAGTGACCTAATATTAAGAGTTTTCTTTCTCATGAATTTCGTGAATTCTGGAAAAAAATTTATAATCTGTATTCAAAAATGTAGGTACCTAGTGACTGGAAATACCTAAATATAGTCTCAAATTATTCATAAATGCAAAATGAGAGCAGCTGTGCCCTAGATGGACCATGATACGCTGGTCAGAGGAAATGCAGGAGGTGGACAGGGAATGGCGCAGTGCTGTCAGAAGCCAGATTTCTCTGGGGCACTCAGGTGGGGCTTTGCTCACGTGCACCTGAGCTGCTCAAAGGTGTGTCAGTTGTTTGCCTAGATCTCTTTGCCCCTTCCTCTTCTCATCCTACACTAGTGCACTGCCGGAGTTGGCGAAGACACCATTTGTGTGTCTGTATCTTCCAAATCAGTGCTCTCCAGCCTTTAAAACTGGTGATGGTGAGATCACAAAGCTGTTTCCTGTGTAGTCCAGAAGCTTGACTCAGCCCCGGAGAGGCTTGCTCAAAGTGCCAATGTCAGAATTTTCCTGCAGACCCACGGAAGCAGCATGGAAGCTGTGGAGGGGTGGATCTGCAGCTTTATTAATGCAAGCTTTAACACATATTAAAATGGAGAAATTTCACCTGGGATAGGACATGATGGTTAAGTCAAAAGAAACTGCAGGGGAGAGTGACAGACTGAAGCCTCCTCGCCTGTTCGCTCCTTTCCTTTCCCTGATTTTCCTTTACTTTGAATCAAATGAAATCTCTTCTAAATTTCATTCTACTTATGAACTTCTAAGTAAATATGTGGCCACACCTAGAATATATTTTAGTTACTTGCAAAAAGCTTTAATGGAAGTTTCTAGTATGTCTAAGATGCTAGTTACTATTCTCTTGTTTTTATGTTACTTCATTCCTTTGGAGGACAGAGATTATGTCTCAATCATTTTCCTATCCTTACAGTGCTATGGTGAAGAGTAGGTTATTTTTATTGAATGTGATTAAGTCAAATTTGTAAAAAGTAATAAAAAAACAAGGTATATAATAGAAACCCAGGGAATGTCAGCTTTGCCAGTGTTACAAGTCCTAGACACTTCGCTGGGCTTTTACTTCCACCTCTGTCAATAAGCTTATCTGAAAAATTAGCAAGTTATGTGATGTTTCAGTTCCCTACCCCTACCCCAAGTTGGCAGGAATAGCAATCACTTTTTTTTTTCACAAAGCAGTTGATAGAGTAAACATGATAATACCACTCTTTACTATCACTTTTCACTTACGGAAGTTAAAAAAATGATATCAACATTATCTACATCATTTTACCATCTCCAAAACACTGAACAGGAGTGCAATCTGCATTCCCCAGAGATAATTACTTTCCCTTACATCAAGGCAAACCAGAAAAGAGAAAACAGGAAAAAACAAAGATTCCAGGAATTGCATCTAGTTATAATGCGTATCACTAATCAGTCTTCTAATATGATTCTCTGGATGATTCTAGATATCAGGACAAGGAAAACAATTGGCCTTGTTTAATTTTTGACATGCTACCTAATGAACAACTCAACCATTTTCATAGAAGGCGAAATTATAGCAGTGCTGCGGGTATGTGGCTACTGTATTGAAAGTTAATTGGATTTCCCATTATGATGAGGTTTGTTTTTCAGAATTTAATCTCCTAGTCTCTTCCAATTGCTCTGAGTTGATGATGAGACAGAAGACATATAGGGCATGTGGAGTGAGTCATGGGTTTAGAAGGAACCTCATTAGGTCAGAGAATCCTTAGATATATTAGTGCATTGTTATGGTGCATGCAGGAGCTAGGATTGAGTAGAATGTGTCTTCCCAACATGGACTTTTTCAGAAGGGGAAACTGACTAGCTGTCTTTAGCCCTGCCTCCACCCCATTCGGACAGTGATGTGTTTTTATTCCATTAGGACGTTGAATGTTATCTGTGTGGCTGGAACTAAACAGCATACCAACTTCTTTTCTAGTCTAAGAGATTGTTCTATAGATTACCTCTTTAACATCAGTTTGTTTGCTCTGGTGTTTTGAAAAGTGAAAAGAATTTTCAGAGCAAAAGAACTATTTTGCACAAAGATCCAGTAGGCAGTAATGGACTAGGTGACAATGGGGATTTCCCAGTTATAAAATGGTAGCTCACACTGTCACCCTAAAAAACAACAATGGGCAAGAGTGTGGCTAAAAATATGCTACTTCAGTGACCCAGTGAGTAGCCCCAGGGAAGGAAGACTTAGCAGACAGATCAGTGTACCCAGGGGCTCTGAGGAAGTCCTGGAGGCTACTTGACCTATAATTGCATGCAGGAAGAATGTTCAGCTTACAGTTTTGACACTATGACTAAAGGTTATTAATGAAGTAGTTGTATCTATTCATATGTTACTAAGAACATTGACTCTTTAAGTGTAAACATTTAAAACATGCCAGTTTTGCTAATCTTATTATGACATAGTATCATTTTGTAAGTTACCAAGATTCTAAAGATAAAGTGACCAGGGATGCCTGTAAACTTGTAGAAACTGACCACTGCCTGCTGGAGAGCCTGGCAGCAGTGAGTGGGGAGAGCTCCTAAATAAAGTCTTTAGAACTGTGGGCAGAAGTTGAGAAAGGTAAGCCAGGGGACAGCTGGTGAGAACTACGAACTCCAACCAATTCTAAACTCTTACAGGCATGTCCTTGACTGTCTACCTGTTAATGTCCCCAAACTTCAAATTTAACTTCTGTTTATGTCAACTTTTACATTAAATATATTGAAATTTTTGTTTGGATACTGTATTAAATAGTATAAGAGAGTGGTGTGGTATTTGGATGATTTAAAAGAATTACATGGCAAACTGATGAACTCTATACTTAAATCAGACATGAGCTCCAGAACTGCAGAATGTGGGTCATCACGATTCTTCTTTACTGACAAAACTTATCTCCACCATGAAATAGCTACAAAGCATATTGCAACAGCACCTCACAGTTTAGAAAGCATGCTCACATACATTGTCTCAAATTCTCCCAAGAGGAAAACATTACATAGCACTTACAGTGACATATTGGAGGCTTTCTTTTCTTTTTTCTTTTTCTTTTTTTAATAAAAGGACAATTATCTTTGGTGATGATAACTTCATATCATAGGTGAAAATCTGAAGTTAGAGACTAGCATGTTGTATAGATATTGATGTAGAAAAAGAAACCATCCTGACTTTACAGATATCAAGGTACATTTACAATCTAACAAGTTAAAATATACTTCCTGTCTCTTTAGCGTAACACCACAACCCCAGTGTCCTAGTACAATCTTAAAGTAGGACATGGTGGTTAAAAGCTGTCCTCTTAAGTGCTCCCTAGTTAGCATAATTACACTAGGAAAAACAAATAAGGAAAATTTGCAAGAGTCAAATAAGTGACCAGACAACAGGTTTCTAAAGGTATATTCTTTTTAAAAAGTATTTTATTATTTTTATTTTGTATGAGTGTATTGCCTGCCTGTATGTAAGTGTACCCATGTCATGCAATGCCCACAGAGGTTAGAAGAAGGTGTTGGATCCCCTGGAACTGCAGTTATGGCCAGTTGTTAGCTGGCAGGTGGGTACTGGGATTTGAACCCAGATCCTCTGCAAGAGCAACCAGAGCTCTGAATCACTGAGCCATCTCTCCAGTCCCTAAAGGTATATTCTTGAAAAATACTTGGGCCATCACCTTAATTGATATGGCATGGGTATTTCACTATGCCCACTAGCCATCTATTGATAAAGAGGAAATGGCACTGTTCTCTCCTCCCACGTTATGAAAAAACTGATGTTAGAAACATATCAGAAAATTTGTTTATCATGCACATAAACCAACTATGTCAAAGAAATAGTCAAGGACTGTGCTGTTACAAGACTAATAAATGCAGCAATTTGACCACAGAGAGGAAGGGATGTGTTTTCCAAGGTGCTTAAGAAGGAAGAATTAGTTGCAGGTTTCCTCTTCGCCACAGGAGAACCTCGTAAGTTTCCAATAATATTTTTAATACATAAAGTTGTGTTGTAGTCAGGCATCAGGAATGTAATCATTCCTTATTAACCAGTTGAAAGGATTTTTTTTCTCTTGAAAAGTTAATGTAAAGGGAATATAACACAACCCCTAATTATAAACGTAGTTTAAAAAACCAGTAGAAAATGGTAGGTGTGGTCATGACTGTATGTGCATGCACGTATAAGATAAATCAGTTTTCCATTTATTTTGCAACATTTCCTTTGTTCTAATATCACATGTACAAACTCAGATTCTTGGTCAAAACAAGCCCCAACAGGATGCTAAATAGGAGCGATGAATTCTGTAACAGGTGCAACAAGAAAAACATCATTTTTTTCCCTGAGTATAGCTTGATGTTCCTTGGAGCAATTCATAGTCCCAAGGTGAGGTTCTCTGCTTTCCTGGGAGGTTTATCTAAACTGCAGTCTTATTTATCAAAACAACAGTATCTTTGGAGCTTAACAATATCCACAGGAAAGCTTCACACTTAATGTGCACAAATAAATAGTTTATACATTAGAATGGCATTTCTCTGCCTCTCTCTTAGAGTTTGGCCCCTAGAGAACAGTTAACATTCACTTAGTATTTATGAGTCACAAGACTTCACAGTGCATGTCAAAGATTCAAACAAGATCATAAGCAAACAAAAAGCATACTTCATACATATAGCACATGTACTGTTTTCCTGGTGATGTCATGGATCAACAGGGTATATACATTGGCCAAAAATCACCAGAACTCAGACAGAGTATGGAAAACCATTCTTTAATTGACTTGCTTAGTCACTGAAATATTTATTGAGTTCCTACTACATACCCGATGCCTCTTTAAAAGTGATTGATTTCTAAAGGGGAGCATGTGGTAAATCCCAGCACTGGCTTATGAAAAATTGAGAGATTGTCTGTTGGAAAAGTTTCTGGGAAAGGTTTCATAGCTCTTAAAAAGAGCCATGCAAGGAGGAAACTGTTTGTGGTGGTTAATTTTATGGACCAACTTGGTTAAGTCCACTGTACCCAGTTGTTCAATTGAACACTAATCTAGGTGTTGCTGTGAAGGTATTTTATAGATGAGGTAATGGCTACAATCAACTGACTTGAAGTAGAGATGGTTATCATTGGTGATCTAGGTAGACTCCATCCAATCAACTTGGAAGCCTTAACAGGAAAACAGATTTCCCAGGGAAAGAAGAAATTCTGTCTTAAAGCTGTGGCATCAGCTTCTGCAGAGTTCTTCGCCTGCCAGCTTACTGTATGGATCTTGGACTTCTCAGTCCCTACAACACATACGCCAATTACTTGAAATTACGTATCTCCTTCTGGTTCTGTTTCTCAGAGAACCCTAACTGGCACACTGTCCTTTTTCAGTCTCTAGAAATTCATATGAAAGAGTATAAACATGGAAAAGACCTTGGGTCCTTGGGAATCTAAGTTAATCAACTCTGGAGTCTGGCTTATTTGGGACTCCTTGGGATGGGGGAAGAAATCCTTTCATCTCTTATGTCATTTAAGCTGAATTCTCTGTTTCTTATAGTCAGAAACAACCATATTAACAGAAGCCACCAAGAAAATGATTAATATCACATAAAATCACAATGAGCCAACCACAGAGTGTTTAAGATAAATAATATATTAGTATTTGGGTCATTTTTTTTCCTCATATAACAAGGAACTCACTTTCACTGCCTTGAAGGCTACATTAAATGAATACATCTGAAAGCCCAGAAACCAAAATTATCTATTTATAGGACTAATACAAAAGTTGGAAAAGATGGGACCGGACAGATGGCTCAGCAGCTAAGAGCACTGAGTGCTCTTGCAGAGGGCCTGGGTTTAAGTCCCAGCACCTACATTGGTGGCTAACAACTGTCTTTAACTCCAGTTCCAGGGGATCCAATGCCCTATTTTGACTTCCATGGACATTGCATGCCACTGGTGCACTTACACACATGTAGGCAATACTCTCACACATAAAAAAATAAAATAAAATTTTTTTTTTTTTAAAGTTGGAAAAGAGGGACAGTGAGATGGTTTAGTGGGCAAGGGTGCTTACCATCAAGCCTAAGGCCTGAGTTTGATCTCTGGAACCCATGTGGTGAAAAGAACCAATTCCCTCAGGTTGTCCTCTGACCTCCACAAATGAGCTGTGGCACACACACGTACACACACACACACACACACACACACACACACCCCCCAAATAAGTATAAATAAAAAAAAAAAGTAAAAAGTGCAGTAAAGACATCTTTTCCTGTGGCTAGGCTGTTTCGTCTATGGAAGGAAATCTTGAAAACAATCTTTTCATATTAAAAAAATAAGACTATGGCCCATGTTTTTGGTGATTTTGTAATAATTATTTTATTCTTGACTTTGGACTTTTGAGGTCTTACCAGAGAGGACTGTTTACATGCTTTCTAATGTTGATGCTCATACGTGTTTTAGATCTATTCTATACTTGGGGTTATAGTTACAGTAAAATTACAAACAGCTGAAATCCCTATCACAAGAATATGTGTAGGTGTGTGCAAAATGCTTAATGTCTTCTGCAGGGAACAAGTTTTACATGGGCAGTCCATGCTGAAATGAAATAAATTCACTCTCAGGATGAAGGTGTGTAATCTAGCTACTAAGATTTTGTTTTTTGAGTTACACACCCATGAAAAGGGGTGTATGACAGAAACACTTGAAAGAAAGACAAGCCTACATTTCTCTGTTATATCATCTTCACAAGCTAACCATTTCCGACAATTTTCAGTTATTTTGAATTAAAATTATACATACACACAAAACAGTGGGTGGGGACTTGAGAGGAGTGACAGACTTGATTTGCAGGATTCCCTTTCCTGGCTCCCCTCAGTGTATTTGAGGAAAACTGGAATTACATGCACTCTTAAATTTTTTTTTGAAATTTTATTGGGTTTGCTTTATTTTAAAATGAGAGTATTTTTTCCTGCTTTAAAAAAAGCAGACTAGTCTTTACATCATACATTTAAATTGAACTCATTTTTTTCTTCTTTCCAGTAATGAAATGATATTGACATTCATTGATTATTAATCATCTACTTAGTATCTTGATACTAGATATACAAAGATAGAGAGAAGAAAGTGATTTCCAGTGAAACAGGATACTGCAAAAAATTTAAAACTCTGTTTTAAAGGAGTGATGGTTTGGACCATTTGCACTGCAGCCAGTGATGTCTCTTCTACGGGCTTTTCCAAAGGAAGATCACAGAGTTCCATTGGAATTGCGCCTGATGATGAGTCCTAGCCAAAATGCAAACTCCTCTGGCTCATGCCAAGTCTTCAGGACTTTCTTGCTTGGGAGAAGAATCAAATCTTCTCCCTTGATGGGTTAGTCTGAACTTACTCTTGAATCATCCTCCCATAAGGGAAAATAATTCAGATAGATGCTATATGTGGAACCAAATTCCTTGAAATAAATTATTAACTAGAAATTAAATGTCCGTTTCAGTGTTCTAAAAATGGGGTTGGGATCATGTATATCAGGCTCTGTGGGATGTTTAGAAAAACAGTATGTTGATAGTTTCTGTCTTTCCAGTTAACTGAATCAGAATTTGGGGAGTTGGGCCCAAGTCTTCAGTTTTTAATGAGTTTAATTTTTTGTGTTTACTGAGGTTGCTCACCACTGACACTGGACCATATAGCTTCTCCACCTAACTCACTGACCCAGAAGACTGACTTGCATAGGTAACAGCAGTAGGATCCCTCATTTTTTGATTTCTGGTGAGTTTT